ACACCTGGAGGCCTGCCCACTTCTGAGTTGTAGTTAAATGAACGTGGGACCCTGCTTTTCACTGATAGCAGCTTCCACAAAATAGCCCTAAGAAGGTGGACAGCATATCCAGCATGAATAATCTGATTTTATTGGTGGGGAAGCTGCAGCTTAGGTTCACACGCATCTCCTCACTCACCGTGCGACGGTCACGTTTACGTTCTGTGTGAAGATGTGGAGATTTGCCGACCTGCTTGGAATGCTACCCGGCACGGTGCCCTTAGGGTGAATATAAAATGTGGAATAGTTACTTATTTTTCTTGTGTGTTGTATGGCAAAATTAATTTGGGCGAGATCAGAATGGGATGTTTGGTGGAGGGGGGTAGCAGGTGAGACCTTGCACGCAGCGATGGGGAGTTCTCACTGAAGGGTTCTTTACACACCCACTCGGCATCATGTCTGTCCATTAACTCCGGAGTTTAAGATTAGCGTGTTGTTTCTAAGGAGATGTTCCTTGATTACCCCCCCTCCCCCCTCCCCGCCACACACGCACCAAGTGACCATGGCAGATGAGGTACTGGTCTGGAGCTGTGGATTGCCTAGACCCTCACCGCGGTGCAAAAGATCCGTCTTCCCGAGTGACACCACATGTGAGATCTCGTCCGCGTTACTGAGCTCTATGCGCCGTATTTGGAGGGTCCCAGAGGGTCCTGCCGGATCGATGAGTCCGTTTTCCCCCCAGGACCCGGCAGTCTAATGCTGGATTTCTGTCCAGGTCTTATGACCGGTATATGAGGGACTTCATCTTGAGCTTGAAGGTCCCTTAGGATTGCGGGGGGGGGAGTGTATAAGTGTTTGTGCTTTGCCTTCGGGTCTGAAGTGTTAAATTAAGTTATCTGAGTGGTTTGAGTAACAGCGACGATTAACTGAAGTAATATCGCGCAAATGTCCTCCCCCACCACACAGCAAGTCTTAAAGAGTGAATATCCCACGACAAGCTCCTTTGGACAGAAACTGGCTGACCTTTAACCCTCCTGGGGACACTCAGTCACATGATACACAGGCAAAAGCATGACTCTCGAATCCTTTTATTTAGGGCTATGCCGAGATTCACTTCCCTTTGGCTCGATGAGCCTCTCAGTTCCGCCATCTGGTGTCTCACCATTAAAATCGCGGCTTAATCAAGACTGTGGGTAATTACCTCGTTTATGGCGGCATTTTGGATACAGCTCATGACAGCAGATGTATGCAGGCCTTTGCGTTCCTTCTCAGGTGTTAGCCTTGGTGTGCCCTTCTGACAGCGTCGCATGGCCCCCAAAAGACACCAAGAAAATCCCAGGATTCAGTGGGTCTTACTGGCCACGCCCCCTGCGTTCCACCTCGCACTGCACTGCGTTCCACCTCGCACTGCACTGCGTTCCTCTCAAAGACAGCAATAAGCTGTTTAATTCCCATGCTGTGTGTTACTAAGGAACTGATCGTTTCGCATCTCGATATAACTGTCTCAGGCTTTAGTTACTATAACAGCAGCATCAATGCACTTGGAATGTACATCAGAATGGACACTCACCGATAACGTGACACTGGAAACCAAACTGGACGGCCATAGTGCATGTTTATTCTTATACTGAGCCACATGAGGCTGTTTCTAATCTGATTTTTTTTTTTTTTTTAAGTTTCTCATTTCTGTTAGCTTTTGGGAAGTGAAATAAATTGCAGCGGAGGTTTGACTGCAGTAACAGCTTCTCCTGCTTGGCCATCAATTATAACAAAATAGTCAGATGGATTTCACCAGAATCGTGGGACATCACTACATTCAGGTTTCTCTTTCCACAGCATCCAGTCTTTGACGGTACTGATTAAAAATTACACTAGTGCCCAAAACTGTGGAAACACTTCCAACTTTTAGTGGTTGCAGAGTTTTATTCCAGTTACATATTTAATCGCTCAGTGTGTGATATTGGTTAACATTCTTTGATTGTTCATAAACATTATCGCCAGTATTTGTGTAGTAATTTTTAATTTTAATTTTATTTTTGAAACATAATGCCAAAAATGCTAGGTGTTCCCACGGTCTTCGTTGGCCCCAAGTGTAACAGAAGCTGTGTTACAAACCTGGTCCTGAAGGAAGACGAACGTTTAAACCATCTGACAGCTTCAAAGCCCTGAGATCAGGTCGCATTGGCCCTCACCTGTATCCCCATCTCTCCTTCTGCCCCCAGATCTCTCCGCCTCCGTACAGAAGTTCTCCAAGTCGCTGCAGGAGTTCCAATTTGAGTGCATCGGCGACACCGAGACGGACGACGAGGTTAACGTGGGTGAGTCTTCTTCTCTAGAAGGTCACCGTCACACCAGGGCCGCTTGCGGAATTCTGACCTTTTCTTGGCATTTCCGTGAGGGAGAGTCGGGGAGCCTCGCTGACAATGGCGAAGCTCTCACTTATTTATTATGGCTTAGCAGTTAATCCCCCAGCCACTGGGTTTTTGACATGGCTCATCTCAGAGTGCAGGAGTCAGAGATACATGTACAGGCGCATGGACCTATGGACGTGTGATTCGGATGTTCTGAAGAGTGCTGCCACCATGTGGAAATACCATGTCCATCGCTCAGGAAGGGGCTCAGGAAGGGGCTCAGGAAGGGGCTCACATTCCCACACAACAGGCCTTTTTATTCTTCTCTTCTCCTCCAAAGACTTAGGCTTGTAGTCTGAAGAGCCTAGTGATGAGTTTATTGACGATTCAAACGAACCCACATCTAGTGAGCGGGCGGATTTCTCAATATGCGTACTTGACCATACTCATGTTCTCGCGTACCCGTTTTACATCATCTTCCATTGGCAAAGACCAGTTTCAATACTCAAGAGCAGAAGTACAGAGGATGGTAAAAATCCCCGGATGTCGTTCTTGCCCTGTCCCAAATATCAGAGATGCGTCAGTTGCATCCTCGCCAAACGAGACCGATCCCATGATTCATTGCGCCCCAAGTTTGTTCTTGGGAAGCAAGTTAGCACAACCAGTCTTGCTAAGATCACAAGTACAGTCTTTGCGTTCTTGGTATTTGTATGACGGTCCAGCAGACGTCATTCCTAGCAGCCAGGTAGCCGTTGCCATGTTTATGCGGATTTGTGGTGTGTTTCGGTGTGTGAGCCGTGTGCCAGAGGAAGGTGACACCCCTGCACGATGTAGGAACAAGTCTCAGCTCTGCCTGTTTCTATGCTTGACGTTGCTGGTTAGTGACTCGCATAATTCCACGCGACACATTTTTCACGTTGGAGTGCTGTTAAGTTTGGCTTGGTGTGGACACCGTTTGGACAGTTTCAGAAGGTGTAGAGACTCTGTGATGAAGGAAATGAAATTTTATGTGCAGTTTTCCCCTTTTATCCTGTGCTAAAGGCCTGGATCACATACGGAGCAGTAATATTGTGCTGAAATCCATTTCGACTGGATGACTTGCTCGGACCCAGGCTGGTATCCTGAAACGGGCCATGGGTGTACTGTGATGCCCAGAGTTTCCCGCGAAAACCTGCCATCCCGCCCACGTCCCTGCCAGACGAGGTCACCTGACCCCCTATCGATTTTTCTGGAACTTCCTCCGGTGACATTCAGAAGCCACGGGAGTTATCTGGAAATCAATCCCCACGCCAGATTGATACGGCCATAGAAACCATTAATTGCACAACAATAGAAGGAAGGAAAGTTTGAGTTTCAAAGGTCATTCTTTGTAGAGGCAGCTTGCTTACGGGAGGAGGCAGGCCGTGTGAGAGCCGCTTTCACAGCCCATGTGATGTTTGTTCCTCATGGCTTCAGCATGGTGAATCGTGACCGAGGTCCTGCCATGTACTGCTACATAGTGAAACCGAACATGGATTTCTTTATGATCACTGGGTGCCTTAGCAGCAGTTTCCTTGGAAGCCATTATAAGGGACGACAATAGATCTGCATTTCCCAATCTGGCCCTCGGGGACCCACGGTCAGTCCACATTTTTGCTCCCTCCCAGCTCCCCGCCAGACACTCTTACCAGGAGCTGGGAGGGAGCAAAAACATGGACTGCTTTAGGTCCCTGAGGACCAGATTGGAAAGCACTGCAATAGATGATTCATCAGCTCCCCCCCACCACCACCCCCACCACCCTGCCTTGGTCACACTGAGATGTTAATGGCTGGTGGCTTTTTCGGCGCGTTGCTGGAGATGACAGCATCCTGGCTGGGGGTCGCTCGCCTTTCCTGTGATCCCTGATGTTATCAGCAGCTGGCAGCACCTCAGCGAAGGCGTGTCCTCAAACTGCCGCCGGGTCTCTTATCGCCGAGCCGCGTTGCCCGTTATCCCAGACGCCATCCGTGGCCGGCGCCTCATCCTTCACCGTGTCATCCGCTCTGATGGGCACTCGGGCTGTTTGGGGGTAATCGCTATGCTGCACGTGGCCGGCCTGCGCCGCAGTTCCTTCCGTGACATAAACCCCCTACCTCTAGGACGCACTCTAGACGACTTCATTAACATGCAACTAGGGCAAGGCGTAGAGGGAAAGGGGCCCTATTTTCCATGCTGCAGCGTGTCGTGAATTTGAACGCTTCTTTTATATCTCCTTTCAGCCCAGTCCTTCAAAGAATTCTCCCAGCTGTTAGACACCTTAGAAGAGGAGAGAAGACGGCTGGTAAGCAGACATCCCCTCCTTAAATGCCAACGTACTGCCCAGTTTGACATGTCGGGGCTGCCTGCTGCCATGGTGGGCAGCTCCGGCTCGCCTTGCTACATCTGCCAGCCGCTGGCTTCATTCTGGGCTCTGTCAGTCAGTCCCATTGAGGGTTCTGATGAGCTTGTTCTTGGATGATTTAGCTGTTGTTTGCTCTGGGGAAGATCTCTTTGGCCGAGAAATAAACATTGAAACTGAGAAAGGACTGAAATAATTCAGAATGATCTGAACAACGTTAATATTGTCTTCAATACCGCTGCTATTGTCATAAGTTAGCAGAGCTTTTTGGGGTTGTCCTGACCCCCAGTTGCTGTAGACTCTGCCCTTACTAATCCCTTGAGGGAGCTTGGCCATGGGTATACCATAGCTCTGTGCCCACATGGCCCAAACCGGTACATCCACCTCCTACTTCCAAGACCCATGTAAACACCAGACTGGATTCTCCGCACAAGCGGGGTGCTGGACTGTGGACCCTCGAAGACCACTGGCGAGCTTGGTCTGACCTAAAAAATACGGACATTGTTTGTTTCTCACTTGCTCGGGTATACATAAAGATGCCCTTGGACGCTTGCTGTTTTCGATCACCTCCCAGACAACATAATTCTCACTTATATTGGCCTGTCTTCCAGGCTTTAGCCCTGAAGCTCTCATTGGTCTTCTCCATTATCCCGTTAGGAGACGACAGCAGGATGAATGAGAGTAGGTCAGCCATTAGACTCAAACCTTTTAGCCGCCAGAGATCAGGCCTCCCACCTGCCTCCGGGCCTCCGCGGGGCCGCACGGCGGCCTGACTTAATCCCATCACATAAACCCAGTCAGTTTGTTTATTTTTCTGGACCGGCCTCCAGTTGGGTGCGATTACAACGACGTGGGGAGTTAATGAAAATTACTGCAGTTTATAATGATAGTGCTGTGCAGCCCATAATTTTGATAACATTAACCCTGGGATCCCAATTAAAGGAGCCCATAATTGCAGAGATTTACTTAATGTCTTAAGAGCGTGTCCTGCCCTGGTGACGATCGAGGGGAGCGTTAAATAGAACGTGTAATTAGGGATGGGTGCGGGGGCCCCCCACCCTGTGAGACATGAGCCAGGACACTAGGGTCCTCAGTCAGTGTGTGGGGGCCCCATCTGGGCTCACATGGGATTCCTGTCCCTGCTTGAGCATTAGTATTAAAACCAGCCCTCCTCGGACCGAGCGGGACGCACGATTTGCTAAGAACACGCTAGGTGGTCATGTGATCTTCGTGAGAGCATGTGGTGTAAGGTCACCCTTCACCAAAAAGAACGCCTGGGGTAGAGCCAGTCTAACACATTGGTAGTGTGAACAGAATATGAAGCATGCATTGTGTGGGCTACGTCTGCATTTTTTTGGGGATGGGGGGGGGGCTGGATTCTCATTTATTCGTTGATAAAGGGCTGTTGTTTTTAATTTATGTACCATCATCCTTCGCCTCCAGAGGACACTTAGGGCCGGCCTTCCATGGTCGCGGTGAGTCAGCGGGCAGATGACCACGCTTTGGAGCGTTCCATTTTCTATGTCTCGGGGGAGCCCCACTCGGTCTTTCTGCCTAACTGCACTTGATACGGCCTTTACACCCCATAAATCATGCTAGCATTTGTCAGGTAACTGTGCAGGAATAATAGGCACGTAAGACGGTGAGTGCAGACAGGTTTTGAATGAGCGTGGGCGTCTTTTTGCCAGAGATCTTTTCTTGTACTCCTGCATTCCTCTGCCCCTTTATCGGAGAGCCTCAAGTCTTCTGCAGTGATTTTCAGTGCCTGTGAATCCAAGGTCAGCTCTAAATAAGACCTCGTGGTGCCATTCTTGGGAATTTTTGTGCCATAAATTTAGACTGGCTGAGAGACGGATCGCAAATATCAGAAGTGTGACTTCTAGGCCTGGTTGGCAAATTCCTTTATTTGTTTTTGTCGCTGAATAAAATCAGTGTGTATAAAGGTGTGTTGAAATATCTTTTGGAATCTGTTTTTATCTTTTTAACTTCGAAACCAATTAAGGTGCAAGTTAAAATGTAAATCAACTTGTATTTTTAACACTTTATTAATAATGTATTTTATATCTATATCTGAGTGTTTGGTTTATTATGGACATTTTGCAAAGCATCATGAAGGCCAGCAGCCTGCTTCTTCCCTGCATGTTACGGAAAGTGCACACAGTGCCCCCTGGTGTTGTGGAGAGTAAAGGAGATTTTTAAGGAAGTGTCGCTTTTTTTGGTCATCGGTCAGGTCACACCCTCCTGCCTGAAGGAGAGGAAGTGAGATTTAAGCAAAACAATGGACACAAGCTTGGGGGAAGTGGTGACAGGGGGGCGGGGGTGGTGGCTTAAGTGTTTTCTGAGGGGTTTATTTGGTTAAAATGATGATTCACTGTTACCTGACCCCACGCCATGCTGCCGTTAGATGCCATACAGCAAAGTAGCTAAAACACAGTGGCTGTCCTTGCCTGAACCCACGAGACACACTGAGCAAATACCTCTCACTCCCAATCTGGCGGTGATGAATGCTGTCATGTTATACAAGTGCTGGTGCACCCAGTGATACTGGTCTGCAATCTGCTGTGTTAAGTGCCCCATTCTTACAGCACATTTCTCTGCTGTGTTCACCAGATGGGCCTTTCTTCACTGCTGTATAGTGAAGAGTTTTTCTTCGATTCGCTGTCATTATCTGCTACTGCGCGACTCTTGCGCAAGTGAAATGTGTTGTGCAATATAGCAGCTTTCAAATGCAGGACTTAAAAACTGTCAAACGTTGATTGCAGATACAGAATGCCGGTGACGTTCTGATCACGCCCTTGGAGAAGTTCCGTAAAGAGCAGATTGATGCAGCCAAGGTAGGTCCATGCTCATGTCTCCGTGAGTGAAAACTAGAGAACGATTCCACATAAATCATAAATTGCTTTTATTTGCAGTTGTCTTAGTTTTTAAAAGTATCCACGCCTCGTTGAATTTAAAGCTCAGATGGGACTGTTGTTTCAGGTTCTGAAATTGTCATTAACATCAGCAAATTACTTTACCACAAAAAAACAATACTGTCATTGCTTTCCCAATTTGCAGGGAGGATTCTAGGTGAATTTAATTTCTGTAGTAAATAAATGGAGGCCAATATTCAGTATAGAACTCACTGAAGAGAATCTGAAAGGAGCAATAGTGGCAATATACTGGCTCAATCCACCTTCTTTTTTCAGGATTCACTTAAAAGTTTTGCCACTCTTCTAAGTGGCTCTTTTTTTAGTCCATTTTGGGGGTTGTGGAAATCTATTTAGGGGTATTTTCCCCTGTCATACTTCAGCATGACAGCAGTCTCTGAAGGAAAAACTCCAAGAACCAAAACTGAAAGTGGAGCCATTGTTAATCATCCATCATCCATTGTTATCAATAAACACAACCACACACACCCTTCAGCTCGCTTGACCAGCTCTGCTTGTAAAAACATTGCTTGATCATTTGCCATGTGCTCGTCTCTCATGGCTCCATCGGCCCAGGACTCAGAACTTGCTAAATGCTAAACTTGCTAAATGCATGCCTCACCATGCCGGGTAATCTTACACTCTTCAGTGTTATCAATAAAGGGTGGGCGTGGTGTTCAGACCCACTGAATGTTACACGTCTGGTGAAGAGTGATGGTGTGTTCCCCACAAACTTCCTCCCAGTGCTGTACACTGGAGACCTCCCACCACTGGGGGGCGCCCTGCATTTTAGCTGGAGCCGCGCTGTGCTGGCCCCGCACACTAGTGTACATCTCTGCACTCACATTACACAGCTGTTCCTCTGAGGATGCTAAGCATTATTCCTAGCGGAAAAACCCCTTGACCACTCCCTGGGCGCTAGATCATGTGGCTTTCCCAGAGGCTAAAGGAAGGTTTTTTTTGTCCTCCCTCCTCTCTCTGTCTCAGGTCAATACAAAAAATTACCTGTCTTGTATCTGTCTTGTATTTCTTATCTGTGAAAATGTAGGGCAATGGCTCCCTAAGCTGGTGTAGTTTTACTTGATAAATTCGTCTACACCAGTTTTTAATGGTATTGACTGTCAGTTGACATTTATCTGTGGTACCAGAGCTTAATTTTACTTTTAATTTTACCTCTGTGAGACATGGCCTTCTTAAATAAAATTCTAGTAATATAAAAGCATCAAAATTATTAAAGTGCTTATTTACGATATTTTTTTAATGATATTACCAAAAACAGTTGAAGGGCATATTTACAATGTCTGTATGTAAAATGATATTGCCACTGCTATTTCGAAACAGATGTCTTTGTTTTTGCTCACTAATTAGTCAGTGTTAATAGTACAGGTGTCATGAAACTTCAGGTTCCCCCGTAACAGATGTTTGAAGCTCTCGGTCCCTGAGGGTGATGTTGATCATCTGGAGAAGGATCAACACGTGGAGCTGGAGAAAAGCGGAGCCAGCAGCAGTGTTTCTGTTTCCGTATCTGGCTCCAGGTTGTGGTTAGTAGTTAGCACTTAGCAGCAGTCAGAGACCACGCCCCTAAGAATTCCCTCCGTAGCCTCCTTCCTGTGCTAGCTAGTCCGCCTGGGTTTTCGATGCTGCCCTGTGTTAGCGCTTTCACACCAGGGTCAGTGCCCGGCCCGAGCCTAATTTCTGGCCCAGTCGTTGCATTCACACCACAAATAATAGCGATGAGGGGCCGATATATCCAGGCCAGGGCTCTTTTCCGGCGCCGAAAGACTGCTGGGCCACAGTCAGAAGCGCGTGACGTCAGGGGACAGGGTTAGAGTCGTCAGAGCGGAAAGCAAAAGTTTACAAAGAAGTGCGGAGTGAACTGGAGAAGGCAGGGGATACCAAAATAACAGAGCAAGAATATCGGAGCAAAAACAAATATCATGGACTGTGTTTGGAAACAGACCTGCTAACCAGGTCACTGGAGCCTTGAACTCCGTGACCCCTTTGGAGGAATCGGGTACGTTGTTATTGTTGTGTTTTCTTGTAATGTGACTATGAACTTTAATTACGTTTGGTGTATTTCGGATGCCTTGCAAGGATCCGTCAAACAAAATAGCGTATCATTAAACACTCGGTTGTGTTTCGTGTGTTGGATGTCTGTGACTATGGCTGCTTCTTTTTTAAAGATTTTTTACAGCCGGCCCGTTTTTTGTAACGACACCTTAGCTAACTAATAAGTTACCATTAGGATCTGACTTTAGTGAACCATCCAGTGATACATAACATACAGCTATCTGCTCTGTTACAGCAATGAAAATAACACTCACATGCTATCTTGCTTGAAATGTCAGTAATTTAAGTGAAATTTACCCATCATGTATTTCATGTGCTTGTTTTAACACAGGTGCAGAAAATGTGGATAGACAGGAGTATCACTTCTTATATATGTTGTTTCCACGTGAAAGATTAAGATATTTCTTGATTATTTGTATATTTGTAAACTAAAATTTACCAAAATGTTTTGTTCTTTTCTTGTCTTAATTCTCCCTATCAAAGTAGCCCATTCATCCATATTACACAGTACTTTCTTCAGTGTCCCGTACTTATTTTATGTGCATTTTACCCTGATTTGACAAGAAATTACTATGCATTTTAACCTTTATATGCTAATTCATACTTCTGTTGGGATATGAAGTGCATGGTAATTTCTTGTTATAGCAATGCAAATGCACATACGTAATGCATTTGCACTGTTACAACAATCAACTGCCGTACGTATCGCTTTTAAAGGTGAAGATAAAATCCTCAGAAATTTTGAATGAACTGTGTTGGGTTAAACCCAGGAACTATAACATTTAAAGCTAAAATATAATGTAAGTATTTGCAGTAAATTCAAAAAAATCTTACATGGTCCTCCATTATTGTCTTCAGTCCTGAAACAGCACCCCTCCCACAGCAACACGCACGTACTGACGTCATCATTCTACCCTTTGCTCTGGCTGGGCACCGGAACCAGCGCCAGCTCCAGCTCCGGCCAGGGCTTTGTGTGAAAGAGGAATGAGTGTCTCCTGCATTCAGTATTCCATATACGAAGATATACAAGCTAGTAATTGCTAAATGAAGCCTCATGAACCATTTGCTGTGTTTGTTGACCCCACTAGATGGTGCCCTTGGCTTGCTTTGGGGCATGCTTTGGGCACATTTTTCAACAGACAGCACCATCTAGTGGGTTCAGAAAATACTGCAAGTGGTTCGTGAAGCTTCATTTGGCCGTTACAAATATGCATTGTAAAAACACACCAGAAGGCCCACAGTAACATTTTTCTGCCTGTACCATTGGCACTGCCCTGGCTGTCACTGCGATCCTGTTGTAACACTGTACAGGCAAATTCATGTGAGTGCGGCGTTCGTTTGATGATTGCGAGACGGGGGAAATAAAGCCATTGTCCAAGTTTAAAATGTCACAAAGCCGCCTTTCATCACGCCTTGGCCAAAAACGGACTTTTTGCAGTTTATTCACTTCTGGAGTTCCCCCGAGCCGTAGGTGGCTCTTTGATAATTCGGCGTCTTGTTATCTCACATGGCCTATACTCCTCTTTGTCCTCTGTATGGCCAGACATAGGATGAGATGCAGGAACTGAGTGGAAGTGAGTGTCTTGCCAAATGAGCCTTTTTGCTTCTCTGGCTCTGCTTTCCTCCTTTCTTTGAGGTTTCCTCTGTATTTCCGAGAAAACTGCAATAGCCAAAACAGGAACCTAAATTATTAACAGGGATAATGATAATAATGATAATAATCATCATCATATTTTGTCCCGTCAAAGTGATGTCAACTATACAGAGACCATGCAGATGGTGTTCCCACGCCATGTCCTGTCTCCTATCTGAGTCTTCAGGTTTCCTAATGGTTCATTGTTGAGATGATTGTGTCCATCCACCTTGTTCATCATCCTCTTCCTCTTCAGCTTTTCCAAACCCTGCCATCTTCACCAGTGCACCAGGTCTCTTCTCATAATGTGCCGAAGTAAGACCCGTAAGTCATCTGGGCTTCAATTGAAAGTTCAGGTTTGAGTAGATGACGAATCCTCTCGTTGTTATTAAATTCCACAGTATTCTTCAAAATCTTCATCAGCACCGAAGTTCAAAAGCATCAATTCTCTTCCTGTCCTGATTTTCCACGGTCCTGCTTTCACATCTGTCAGGAGTCAGAGAAAGTGCCGTATTCTGAACAGAACTTTGTTCATAGAGATCAACTCGTACTCCAGGGCATTTTTTGCAGGGCCCTCATCGCCACTCTGCCAAGCGCCAGTCTGTGATACCTCTCTTGACTGCTGGATCCTTTGTTGCTGATAATCATTCCTAGAAGGCAAAGGCAGCCTCTAATGTCTGTATCTTCAGCATCAGCATTAAACTTTGCTGCCCGTCTTGTGGTAGGAAGCTTTCTTTTCAAACAAGAAAGTAAGAGTTAAGTGAGGCAACTTAAGATGTCCAGCCGCGTTCTGCTTTTTGCAGCTAATTGCTAACTGCCTCTGAAGGCTACTTTTCATCAGAGACCGCCTCTGTGCTCCCAGTAAGATGGCATTTCTCCGTTTGCTTACAGCAGTAGTTCAGGTTTTGTAGTTGTGCCGTCCACAGTCTCCCCAGCCCCAGGCCAGCTCTGTGTGAGTCTGCAGACTTTGGAGATGCACTGCATAACCCTATGGCGGAAAGAGTGGTGCCTGGATAACCTGTTCTGTGTAATTAACGTGAAAAGGGACACAAACAAAAATGCCAATTAGGATAATTAACGAAAACATTTACCTCCTAAGGAAATTACTGTCATTTCTTCTCAAATTACTCATAATAGTTTATTTTATCTCCTGCTGTGTGTCAAACAATGGGAATGAGGGTTGTGAGGTTAGAGTGTCCCCTACACGCTCCAGAGTCAGATCGCTTGTGAAAGCTCAGATGTTGGGTATCAGTTGTTGAACACTTTGTTTTTTTCTCTTCCTTTAGGAAGGAAAGAAGAAGTTTGACCGAGAGACTGAGAGATACTACTCTGCTTTAGACAAGCACCTGAATTTGTCAACAAAAAAGAAAGATACGTTTTTAGAAGAGGTGAGCCTGTTTGCTGTGGTTAGCATAAATGGCGCATTTAAGACGAAGCGGATAATGCGAGGAACATTGGATCATGTGTTTGCTGTTCCGGTGACAAGCCTTCCCTTCTTCCTAGGCAGACGTGCAGATCGATAAGGAGAGACAGGCATTTTATGATGCATCTCTCGAATATGTCTTCAAAATCCAAGAAGTTCAGGAGAAAAAGAAATTTGAGTTTGTGGAGCCGGTAAGTTCTCCACGTTCACCGCCAAACTGACGTAGGGAAGCCATCACATCCAACGTGCCGTCGCCCGCTGGCATCAGTGGAAATTTCCCAGCCCAGCTTAAGGACAAAGGAGGACTTCATTGTGCTTCTTTCACAAATCCCTGTGCTGTTAATTTGCAGCCGTCAAATAGGACTCATTCCCCGTCACGCACTAAGGAAGTGAAACACTCCTATGTTTCCAGCTAAAACAAGATGAAATACTTCATGTAACTGAAAGGACTCGTCTTAAAGGAGAGTAGTTACAGGATATGTTGTGTTCTTTGATGTCCGGAGGACCGGCTCCAGAAAATTTTAGAAATACTTTTGCTAGTGTTTCTGTGTGTGTGTTTGTGTTTTTGTAATTATTACATTGTGGGGACCAGATTTCCTTACAGTGTGATAAAAACCTGTTGCTTTTTGCCTTGTGGGGACATTTTTTTCAGTCCCCAAAAGCATAACCTCAATTTTATAAAAATCTGTGACTGCGATCAAAAAACTAAAAATGCCAGAAATCTTGTATTTTGTTTGGTTACGTATGGTTATGGTTAGGGCTGGGTGGGGGTTAAGGTTGTCATAGTGAGGGTTAGAGTTATCCTGAGAGAAATGAATGGAGAATCCCCATAATGATAGGAATATATGAAGTGTGTGTGTGTGTGTGTGTGTGTGTGCACACAGGTCTCTGAGGATTTGAAAGCTCCTGATATTTTTGTTACTTAAAAGCTAAGAGGCTTTCATTTCCCTCCCCTCCGTGACGGGACTCCGCTCGAGTCCCCGGTCCCGATGACACCCCCGAATCAGCTCAGCTATTGCTGCCCACTGCTCATACTGGACTCCACTCCTCCTAATTGGCGCTTCCTGAAATCCAAGCGAGCTCATCTTGCTGCCTCTCTCCTTTCTCCCCATGCAGTTACTGGCCTTCCTCCAGGGTCTCTTTAACTTCTACCATGAAGGCTATGAGCTTGTGCACGAGTTTGAGCCATACAAGCAACAGCTGCTGTTCAACTTACAGAATGTAAGAATGTCCTTCGCAGCCGCCTAGGCCGGGGGGGGGGGGGGGATCGGGCTGCGCCAGAGGCCGTCCTGCATAGAGGAACGTGAGATGGGGAAGGTCCACACAATTTGTCCTGTAAGATGATGCGTGTTCTACACTAGCGTGTGAGGGGAAAGGCTTTGACAACCTGCACATGCACTTAGGATGACTCACGCCAGCTTTATTATTTGACCTTTGACCTCTAGTCTTGTGTTACACAAATCACCTGGTTTCCTTCCAGATGTGCAGTTCCGCAGAAAGCAATTGGGGGGGATGGCGTTGGACATTAACCACACTTTTAGTCTGGAGAGGACTCCGAGTCCGTTTGTGCATTAGCCGGGAGACGTCCCATGGACTGAAATAGAGCGCCTCCTGCAGTGTGCTACCGGGATAGCGGATGATGAAGCGTGCTGTTTGCCATCAAGTCGTCCTGTGCTCTGAAACGTGCAGGAAGTGTGGCGGCCACCGCCCGCTCGCCTTGGCACGGTAGTCGGACGCCCCCTGCCGAGACGTGCCCCTCAGCTGGAGCCAAACGCCGTTCGCGTTTCTCCGCTGAGCAATGTGTGCATTTCCGCCCGACACGCCTCTTAATCTGTTTGCTGGTCTTTGTGTGCTGAAGACGAGGAATAACTTTGAGAGCACGAAAGAGGAGATGGAGAAGCTGATGAGGAGGATGAGGAGCGTCGACCACGACTACAAACCCCCGGGGCAGTACAGCATTGAGGGCTTCCTGTACTTGCAGGAAAAACGTAAGTGTCTTATTTGGCCTCGTTTTGACCTTCTGCATTAAAGTACAAGGACCCGGCTCTGTCCTGATCGGTCCTGCTCAGGAGTGAAGCCCTCAAGCAGCCTTCAAAACGTCTAGATAAGTGTTTCGCAACCTGGTACTCGGGGACACTCCCAGACAGTCCACGTTTTTGCTCCCTACTGAGAGCTGAGAGGGAGCAGAAATGTATGGCAGGGAGCAAAAATGTGGACCAGGTTGGGCAAAACTGGTCTAGATGTTCTGTGAGTCTGGCCCCTCTTGGCAGCGGTTCCATGTTTTTCCTGTATCCGTGTCCTACTGAGTATTAGCTTTTCTCCTGGGAAGATTCCAGGCAGCCTTCCCCTGGCTGGCCGCTGCTGATCTCCTGCAGCCCGCTGTCATGCTGTGTGAGGGACGGGGTGTCCTTCTGACCCTGCAGGTCCCTGGGGATTCACCTGGAGCCGGCACTATTGCACCTACGAGAAGGAGAGCAAGACGTTCACCGTGGCCAGCTCAGAGAGCAGGTCCCCCGTTTGGCAGGTGAAGGGGATGCAGGAGAAGCTGAGAACACCTCTCAGATGGCTCATTACGTTATAGTTTTTATAGTCCACATGCCAGTAGAAAGGATTTAGCTTTGGAATAGAACAAAGAGCCTTTATTGTCATTGTAACAAGTTAGAACGAAACTCAAATGTATGTGATTCCATGAAGATTTTTTGAAGTATATTTGAATATTAAGGGAAAGAAGATAGATTATGCTGAATATATAAACAAAAAAGAACAAGAATTTTAAGTAGGAAATTGATCTGAATGCATAACTACTGATTTTAAGGAATGTCATTTACCACATATGACAGTATTAATTAAAAGATTGATCATATTAACTAAACTGATTTGGTGAAGCTTGTTCAGCTGCCAATGCGCTCCGCATCGTGCTGTGTGTAACTGTCTTCCTGCGTGTTTTTGTTGAGTTCCTGTTTTCCCTCTTTAGAATCTTCCAGTCACAGCTACACCTGAGATATTCAAGCTGAAGTCTTGTATCCGGCGGAGAACGGATTCCATCGACAAGCGCTTCTGTTTTGATATCGAGGTGGTGGAAAGGTCTGTGGTGGTTTGTGATAATGACGGAGGAGGTCTTGTCTCAGCAGCAGTGGCCCGTAAAGAAACCGGCTTGTTCACATGCCTGCAGATAGGGGACGGTCACATGGCCGTGGGACTCGTGCCGAAAGCTCACGGCTCCTTACGTTTAATATCAGACTTCTTCCGTTTCTGTTGTCTTCTGCAAATGACATTGGACAACTAAAATGTTCTCTTGCCCAAAAAAAAAAAAAAAAAAAACTGCTTTATGGGGAAAAGTCTCTTTGGATAAATCATCAACCCAGAAGTCTTTAATAATGATGATGAATGAAATAATAATTATTATTTTTATTATTATTATTGTCATTGTTCTTGTTATCGCTATTAAAATAAGGGGAAACATCACTTTGGATAATTCATCAACTAATCAGTGTATAATAATAATAATAATAATAATTATTATTATTATTACTATTATCGGCTGCATTTTTGTATAAAATTCCCCTTTTTCAGTCTCTTTCTGGACCGCGCAGCATCTCTCACTCTTCCGTCTACCGGCAGGCACACCGCCATCACCCTTCAGGCCCTGTCAGAGTCAAACAGGAGGCTGTGGATGGAGGCCATGGATGGCAAGGAGCCAGTAAGGACGGTACTGTGCCGTTTTTATTTATTTGTGCATCTTTTGTGCCCCCTGGTGGCCAATCTGTGGAGTGCACATTTTAGAAGGATGGAAAATATTTAATATTTAATAATAATTTGATGCATAGATTCTTAAATAAGACCTTGTTTTATGTCATATCACTATTGCTGAATTATTATTTGGTTGATTATTATGTTTTATACGCACAGGAAACTTCAAAGTTAGACTTTAATAACATTTGTATTTTGAATCTGTCAATCTGTGAACTATGGATAGAAAATTGTATACGTTATGTGTTGCAGATTGATATTGGGGTAAGTGCAGCTTATTGTCATGACAACAACTGTAATGGTGTGGTGTCATCATAATGCATGGAAGGACGTCATTTTTTAACTAACACCCTACTAACAAAATTGCATTTCTGGGAGCGCCATCCCCGGAACGCCCGTCACACGACAGTGTTTGTATCAACCTTTGCGGTGTTTTCACAAACATCCTGAATAGAGAGAGAATGGAATAAATATTTCTCGGCTGATACAAGTGTTAGCCTCGCTGCAGGCAGAACTGCAGGCAGAGTCGTGTCATGTGGGGGTGGAAGGGAGGAAGGGGGGTTTTATTTGGAGACGGGCTCAGCAGAGTGGTGGGGAGGGACAAAGAAAACAAAGGAAAGAAGAAGAACAGGTATTTTGGAAAGGGTTTGATGGCTGTACACCCCCCCCCCCCCGAATGAGTGTCTAACTGCACCCACCTCAAACCCCCACCGTCTGCTTCATGGGGGTTTAACAGGTATGAGGTACAGACAAAGGTCTAATAATATTTTTCTTCTTTTTAGATATATACCCTTCCGGCCCTGTTCAGTAATAACGAGGAAAGTGAGTTTCATTGGGTACTGTTTTAGTTTAATGACCCCCGTAGCCCTGGGAGGGGTGACCTTCAGGTACAACCCCAATTCCAATGAAGTTGGGACGTAGGGTAAATTGTAAATAACAGCAGAATGCAATGACATAGAAATCTCATAAACTGATATCTTATTCATGAAACAGAACATATAAAACATGTAAAATGTTTAAAGTGAGACATTTTGCTATTTAGTGAAAAATATTGGCTCATTTTGAATTTCATGACAGCAACACGTCTGAAAAAAGTTGGGATGGGGGCAGTAGGAGGCTGGAAAAGTTAGTGGTACAAAAACCCAACAGCTGGAGGAACAATTTGCAAATAATTAGGTAAATTGGGTATAAAAAGTGCATCTTAGAGTTGCAGTGTCTTTCAGAAGTAAAGATGGACAGAGGATCACCAATCCCCCTAATACTGCATCGACAAACAGTGGAGCAATTTCAGGAAAAAAGTTCCTTGGTGTAAAATTGCAAAGAGGTTGAAAATATCATCATCTACAGTACATAATATAATCAAAAGACTCAGAGAATCTGGAGAAATCTCTGTGTAAGGGACAAGTATTCTGGATGCCCATGATCTTCGGGCCCTTAGGCAGCACTGCCTCACAAATAGGCATGATTCTGCAATGGAAATCACTAAATGGGCTCAGGAATATTTCCAGAAAACGTTATCAGTGAACACAATTCGCCGTGCCATCCAAAGATGCCAGTTAAAACTCAAAGAAGAAGCTGTATTTGAACATGATCCAGAAGTGCTGACATCTTCTCTGGGCCAAAGCTCATTTAAAATGGACTGTGGCTAAGTGGAAAACTGTTCTGTGGTCAGACGAATCTAAATTTGAAATTCATTTTCAAATCATCCAGACTAAAGAGGAGAAGGACCACCCAGCGTGTTATCGGCGCTCAGTTCAAAAGCCAGCATCTCTGATGTGATTGGGGTGCATTAGTACATATGGCATGGGCAGCTTGCATATCTGGAAAGGCACCATCAACGCTGAAAGGTATATCCAGGTTCTAGAGAAACATATACTGCCATCCAGAAGACATCTCTTTCAGGGAAGACCTTCCATTTTCCAACATGGCAATGCCAAACCACACACTGCATCAATTACAACATAATGGATTCATAGAAGAAGGGTCCGGGTACTGAACTAGCCTGCCAGTGGTCCAGATCTTTCACTCATTGAGAACATTAAAATTAAAATTAAAATTACGACACAGAAGACCTAGGACAGTTGAGAAACTAGAACCCTGTATCTGACAAGAATGGGACAACATTCCTCTCCCAAACCTTGAGCAACTGATCTCCTCAGTCCCCAGACGTTTACAGACTGTTGTTAAAAGAAGAGGTGATGCCATCCAGTGTTAAACATGGCCTTGTCCCAACTTTTTTGAGACGTGTTGCTGCCATGACATTAAAAATTACCTTATCTTTTCCTTAAAATGATACAATTTCTCAGATTAAACATTTGATGTGTTTTCTATGTTTTGTTATGAATAAAATATGAGCTTATGAGATTTCCATATCATTGTATTCTGTTTTTATTCACAATTTGCACAACGTCCCAACTTCATTGGAATTGGGCTCGTATGTGAGATGTGACCAACACCCCCTGTGTGTGCTTTAATGACACTGGTGTCCCCGTTCTCTGCAGCGCTGTTAAATGAGACCGGCTTTAACTTCGTAAAGAAGAGCATCACGTTGGTCGAAGAGAGGGGTGAGTCTTTGAAAATGTGCCATCTTACTTCCCAAGTGCTACATGAGATTGAGTTTCAAAGAAACTGTTCGTTAAATGTGAACAATGAAACCTATGTTACGAAAGGTGGTATAGTCTGAGGTTTGTGAAGCACTGGCCGCTCTCCATGTTTCTTCTGGATTACTGTAACGTTCGCTGAAACCTTCACCGTAGTTCGCTGTCTTACGATCCACTGCCCAAAACCAAACGTGGTGAAATGTACGTTCCTTGTACGTTCCTTCTCCAGAAACTGTGTCTGGTTCCAGCTCGGCTCTGAAAAGACCCAAAATGCAGTAATATAAGGTATCAATTATTATTAAAAAATCAATTGTTTATGTTCCACACCCAGGCCTTAACGCGGTGGGGCTCTATAGAACCGAAGGCGTCAGCTCCAGAGTCCAGCGGCTGATGTCGACAGTGTTTGGTAAGAGAGACAGACTGCTGCCTTACTGCCCTGGAGGATCGTCCTACGTCACATCAGCCGGCGTCATTCTGAATGGGAAACCCGCCATGAGGTCACAGCACCATAAACATTGTAACCTGCATGTTTCCTTGCAGCTCCTAAGGCTTCCCCAGACATGGATTTGGATCCATGTGTCTGGGACAACAAGACTATCTGTAGTGGTCTGAAACGCTACCTCAGGTGAGCCACCAACGCCTGGTTATGTCCTGTGTCCATGTTTTTGAAGCCGTAAATGGTATACCAGTTGGGCTGTATGATTAAGAGGCCCGTGCGAGTGAGAGGCCTGTCCCTGAAGCAAGTGAGAGGGCTTCCCCCATATGAGTGAAAGGCCTGCTCCCGTGTGAGTGAGAGGTCTGCCCTTGTGTGAGTGAGAGGCCTGCTCCCGAAGCAAGTGAGAGGCCTGCCCCTGTGAGAGTGAGAGGTCTGCCCCCGTGAGAGTGAGAGGCCAGCCCCCGTGAGAGTGAGAGGCCTGCTCCCATGAGAGTCAGAGGTCTGCTCCCGTGAGAGTCAGAGGCCTGCCCCCGTGTGAGTCAGAGGCCTATTCCTGAAGTGAGTCAGAGGCCTGCCCCTGTCTGAGTGAGAGATCTACTCCTGAAGCGAGTGAGAGGCCTGCTCTTGAACCAAATGAGTGGCATGCACTCAAACCAAGTGAGTGGTCTGCTCCCGTGAGAGTGAGAGGCCTGCTCCCGTGTGAGTTAGAGGCCTGTTCCCATCCCAGTGCCCCTGTTTGACTGTCTTTCTCCAGATGTCTCAGTGAGCCCCTTATGACTTACAAGCTACACAAGGATTTCATCTTGGCTGTCAGTAAGTGATCTGATCCTTTCAGCCATAGCGTACATCAGCTGTGACGTGATTTACTCTCTGCCATTTTGGGCATCATTATTTCTGGAGTCCTTGGCTCAACTTTTCTTGACACTTCCAAACATTTGGCCCCTTGATGAATTGGGTACATGTGACATTTTCCCTCACAGAGTCAGACGATTTGGACTACAGGGTCACCACAGTGCAAGCCCTGGTTCAAAAGCTGCCAGAGAAAAACATGGAGATGCTGGGCCTTCTGATTGGACACCTGGTCAGGTACGCCTCCTCCAGCAGTCATCCTGATCTTCTCCAGAAAACAAGAATAGTCACAGTTTGTCAGAATCGAGATAAGGCTGCATTGTGAGCCGTCTCTCACCCGTTTCCAGGGTCTCCGCTCAGAGCCGGGTGAACCTGATGACCGTACCCAACCTGGGCGTGGTCTTTGGGCCAACGCTAATGCGGTCACACGAGGAGACGGTGGCGGCCACAATGAACATCAAGTTCCAGAACCTAGCGGTGGAAATTCTGATTGAAAACTATGAGAAGGCAAGTCTGAAGATCCATTTCTCCTTACCTGACATGCTTTAGCAGTGGGTGGTGGATGACCTTCTACACCTGGCTGATGACGTGTGCTGTTTTGTAATGAATCCCCAGCGAAAGCCAGCCCGGTGTGGCAGTCCCCCACACCAAGTGTGTTTATGTTCCCGCTGAGCTTTTAATTTCTAAGCCTTGATTGAATTCGTCACACAGGCTGAATTGAATGTGTTTTCTTTTGTGTTAAACTGTGAGGGAAAAACACTCCAAATGCATTAGCGACAGCAGCTTGGGCCGATTTTATGGCTCGCTAGTCTTTATGAAAACCCACTGGTGATCGCAGCTCATTCAGCATGAGCTACACGGCACGCAGGTGTTTTGTTTCAGATCATTTATGGCAAGTGGTCAGATAACGGAAACGGCCGTTTGTGATGTGAAATGGTAGCCCAGAGTGGAGATGTCTCCCTCGGATGTAGGTTTTCATTTGCACTTCCTGAAGGCTCTCGGCGATGGTAATGGATGACGACTGGCTAAAAGCTGGTCTTTCTTGTTGTCCACTCCAGATCTTCCTAAAGGCCCAGGACCAGGAAGAGGCCCGTGTCCTGCTCCAGCCTCGGCCCAGCTTCCTGCGGAGTCGTGGCATGCGGCTCTCTACAGGCACCAAGAGACACCGGAGCAAAAGCCTGGTGTCGTGGCAGGCCAGTACCAAGGGTGAGCTGGTGAAGCCCTGTCCCTCTACCTGTGTCATGCTGGTGGCGTCTTGACTGTCATCTCACTGTCATTGTCATCGTGGTCTCCATTTGTCCGGCCTGATCTGGGTGTACGGTCAGCTGATCCCCATCTCCCTGCTTCTGTGCTTTTTTGGCTCCCAGGTGATCCCAGTGGCAACCCTCTGAGCTGGATGCGCAGACTCTCCACGTATCCCCTGGAGCATGACCATTCATCCTTTCAACATCTCACTGCTGAGATGTTCCACCAGAACAGCCACAAGGATACTGAGAGCTATGGCCGAACCTGCGATTTCAGGAGCTTAGTGGATGGACTAGCGTCCCCAAATCCCCGACCCGTCAACACACCACAAAGTCTGGAAGAACTCAAATACGTGGGTCCAAAGGACCTGTTCTTCCCATGCCAGAAACCATGGCCTGACGCCAAAGGTATAATTAGCATTTGCCTTTAATTATCCAGGCGCTGCATTGCCAGCCATGGAGATCAGCACCTTTTAGGTAAAATAATGTGCTAAATCTTCACACGTGTTCATCACTATAACTGGATGTTTCTGGAAATCCCTTAAGAATCAAACTCAGGTCATTAATGGCCAAACCTGCACGAGACACGTGTCCAAATCTGTTGTGACTGGCTGTCACTTAATAACGCAGATAATGAAGATTCACACTGATTGAGACAGCTGATGATGGCTGGAGAATTTACAAGAATTTAGAGCTGGGGTGGGCAGCCTTGATGCTGGAGTGCCAGCATCCAGCAGGTTTTCTATCCTACCTGGTCTCTGATGAACCACAGCTGATCTCAGGCTCATCAGATAGTGACTCATCAGGTAGGATGGAAAACCTGCTGGATTCTGGCACTCCAGGATCTGGGTTGTCTATCGCTGATTTAAAGCCTTGTGTCTGAATTTCCTCTTTCGGGCGCCGTGTGATTCATTTGATGTGCGTTTGCTGTCTTTCAGGACATGAGACATTCAGCTTCGCCCAGTGGGACGGCACAGAGACGCCACCCCAGCACGATCTTCATCCCAAACAGAGATCCCATGGGCAGCTGGACTCGGTGGGAAATGGCTCCCAGCTGTTAGACCCACAGTAGGGAACGCGGTGTACTTCATCCTCTGCCTCATCCTCTGTTTTCCGGCTGGCTCTACGAAGGCCCAAAATTCACGTTGTGAAACACCAGAACCAGAACTCTGATAGCAGTTAGCATTAGTATTCATACCCTGCGTCCAATGTTGTTATTTTCACATCAAAACGAGGCTGCAGCTACTGCGGTAATGGCTCCTCCTTGGCGGCGGAATGCTTTGGGGTGCATCTGTCACCCTCGCGGTCCGTGGGACAGCTGTTAGCGATCAGAGGCTGTCCCGAATTAAAGCCGCTCCCAAAGTGCACTTCTGATTTACTGCGTCTCCGTCAGGCACAGTTAGTCACTAACGGCGACGGGGTTGATGTGACCCAGGGGGCGTGGCTTATGCAGCAGATAACATTTCCCTTATCCTCCCCCCGGTATGTTAAAGCTCTGTTTTCTGTTTAACTTTTTATATTTGGGACAGACATCCCAAGTAACTTATTTTATTTGTTCACCTGACTCAGTACTCATGGAGAATAATTTTACCCCTGGGCAGACCTGTGTACTGGCCCATACCTCCCTTGTCACGGCCGTGACACCGAGCTCCTGGATCTCCTTAAACTCACAAACTTTTGTTGGCCTCTGTGATACCTGTCGCCGGAAAGCTGAACGGTTTCCTTAGCTACCTCAGTAAAGGAAACAGCTGGATGGGGGTTTTAACAGAAGGAATGGGATTTGTGCCTCATCCCGCGTGTCATAAACGAAAAGCCCACATTTTACGACGGAGACGGGTCTGGCGTCTGTGAAATATTTAGCCCCGATTTGGGGAAAGGTGAATCCTTCACCTTGCGGCCGACGCGACGGAGAGAGGGACGCTTCATTTGCTGTTTTTTATTCGAAGGCACCCTTGTTAGTGCAAGGTTTCCCTGAACGTTCTTACTTTCGGAAGGCCGTTTCAGGAAAATCGTGCCCCCAAAGCACGCTGACCCTGAATCACTGTGTTCTGTAGCCTGGTCAGCAGGGGGCATCATTCTCTGACATGTATAATTCCTTTTTGACTGATCAGTCCCCATTAAAAGCAAATTTGTTGTTCTTCAATCATTTATGTGTACATATAACTTGATTTTTTTTCTTTTTAGTATCATGACTGTTACCTGGGCTGGGGGGCGTTATGGTGCAGTAGTTAGCAGTTTCCTCACACACCTCTGGAGTCCAGTGTTTGAATCTCCACCCTGGTTCTACATGTGTGGAGTTTGCATTTTCTCAGGCTACCTCCTGGTTTCCAATCCCCCCCCCCCAGTCTAAAAACATGCAATGGTGAATAGGATTTGCCAAATTGCCCACTTGTGAATGTGAGTGCCCTATTGTGGCCATAGGCTCCAGACCCCTGCATCCCTAAAGTGTTACATGCTAATTATATTGTTTGTCTTTTTGTAACTAATCAAATTTATCAGGACCATTAATTAGGTTATTTGGGGGTTCTGTTTTTGTGAGATATCCCTGAAATTGTGTTACACCATGGGCTTTTGACGAACACCCCTGGGGGGCTGAGCGTAACGCCGCTAAAGACCCGAGCGGTTCTCAGGCTTGTGGTCCCACCCTCACGTTCTGTAGGGGAGCGTTCTATGGAAAAATGCTTAAAAACACAAGCGACCTAAACTAGACAGACAGAAGGTTCTGTCAACTTCAAGCTACACAGCATTCCAACGGCCGATCGCTGTGTCGTCTTTGTGGTTTGGCTGTTCCTTTAAGGCATTCTTCTCTGGAATGTTCTTTCCTGATTCATTACCACCAGATAGATGAGCTGGTCCTCCACCAGGCCGTCCTCCAGGTCACAGTGACCTCCCAATGGGGAGGTTCCAATTCCCGCTCTCTGTTCCAGCGCAAAGGCATCCGCGGAGATGGGGGCGGGCTAATCCCCCAAAGCCGCCGGCTCGCTTCGGCAAGTTTAACGGCGCAGTTGCGGAATCTCAGGCGGTTCTGTCCGGCGGTTCCCTGACGTTCCTTTCTTGTTACTCGGCGACTCGCTATCGCTCTATATCTGCATGGAACATGCTGACCTTCGGAGATGCGTTCACACACATTACTGCTCGTATTGTATCCGTCAAGAGATCCGGGGAGGCTATGGCGCCACACGATGGCCAAGCCCCCCCACTGTCCGGCGGCCTTCCTCTAGGACCTCGCAAGACCTCGAGTCCTAGGCGTTGTGGTCGCCATGGTAACAGTGTTCCTTTTCTCCAATGTATGTTGCTAATTACACAGCACAAATGACGTGTACGGTCACTGCTTATCAAACACAGCAGCTCTGGGCTCCCCCAGTTTTGTTTTGATGACCGTGAAGACGGTGGATCGACACTCACTTCATTAAGGGCCCGTTTAGAGAATAACTTGAAATGTTGGCATGAATGATGCCACGTTGTGCCATGAAATTCTACTTCTCACCAACCTCTGTTATAAACGCTGCCGTGACACGGAAATTCACCAATTAAATGTGGAACACAAACCGAAATAAGGTGGAAAAATTCCGGATAAAACAAGGAAATGAGATGAAATCAATAATTTTCCCGAGTAGAAACATTTATGTATTCTTTAGTGTTTTATCTTAAACGAGCGTCACGTAATCCATATTTAGGGACTCGGCTTATGTGAATGGAATGTGAAATGTGAAAATTAACAGAGCAAAACAACTGGAAGGCTGTGACTGGAGCCTGAGAATGTGGAGTGACCTTGACTGCTGATTCCGGAAGAATACTCCCTAGTAAATCCATCCAAAGCTGGAATAATGCACATCGTAGGAAAATAATGAGCGGAAATAGAGTTTTATTTAACCCATTCTGTAGTAAATAAATATGCAAGAGGTACAGATAATAGTCAGCCAACACCATGATTATTTTCTTTAAGGAGTCAAAGCACAATCCTTTTAGGAATATATTAAAACTGTAGAAAACATCTTAATCCAAAACAGTCCATAAACATAATTTACAGAACACTTTTAAGAGCTGAGAAACATCACAGTAATGTTACAAACAGCTGTTTATAATATGATTTTGGAGCAAAATGTTGCATTTTAGCGAAAAGACAAAACAGGCCGTAAGGTTCTTATAATGACTGCCGTAAGCATCACTGTTTGTCTTGTGTGAGACCAGATAAGCACGGGACCATCGGGGGGGTCGCCGTAAAAGTCACGTTTGCACTCCCACACAGCTACTTGACAGGCTTACACAGGAGTTTCCATGAAAACACTATATACACATCCAAGTACAAACTGTTTTCCTTCACTTCATCTATGCTATTGAATTTGAGTCCTTTATTAAATTCTGACCCTGTCCCGACTCACCCTGTTATTTCTGAAACCCGTGTTGCACTGAGAACACGTATGAGACCCACGAGGCAGAATGACGTGTAAAACATAAGATATCATATCGAAAAATAACAGATGCTCATTTTTGAGTGATATTAGTTATATGTCTACAGTGGAAATGACTCCCTACAAGGATTCTGTATTACATCCGCTTCAGGACGAGAGATAACGGTCTTTCCCTTGATCCATCACGGATGGCTCCTGACCTTCTGGCGCTGTGACGTCACTTTGCGTGGAAAAGGAGGGGTTTCACCATGCCCGCTAATATCTTGGGCAACTGGGAGGAGATGACCTCTGACATCATCTCGGGAAATTCCACCTGGAGGGTGTCCGCTTGGATGAAGGTGCTCAGGCAGTACAAATTCACCTTCTTCACTATCTGTGCGGACAAGCCGGGGAAAAAATCTGTCAATGTCGGGATGAGCTACAGCACAGACACATCTATGAATAGCACATGAAAGGAACTCTGAATTAGGGCTGGGCGATGTGGCAAAAATAAAAAATATCATGTCAATTTTTTTCAGACGAGATCACAATGCACGATCCTATTGCGATTCTTTTTCATGTTCATTTTTAAGACTGTTTTAAAAGTTACTGACCTGTGCAACCAAACTAATTCGCATATTTTAAAAAATATAGCCATATAAGGTAACAAAACCTAAAAAAGAAAAAAATCTATGTCAAATTCTTTGCAGAGACCCACTCCTCCATGTCGTCTGTGACGCTATGTTGCCAAATAGAGAACGTGTTGCATGTCGGGACCAGAGCACCAAAGGGAGAGAGGAAGAGAACCAAAGCACGACCCGCTATTTGATATTACTAGTTTATTGGTGTGTTGAAACACTTTTGGCTGACAAAAGATGCGTGTAGGACTGCCATAGGACTGCAACTGATGGAATGTGTGCTGTAGCGCGATACTAACCATCTCCCCGTAAGGACAGATCGTGGAGACATTTGAACCTCTCGCGATATAATATCATCAAATGGCATAACCCTGCGCCGAATGCAATGTTCTGAGGGTGGCCCATCGTGAAAAAACGGCACAAGAACCCGGTGAATTTTGCAGAATCAATCCAGCCACCCAGTAAAAGACCCAAACCGCTGAGAGAAGCGTCGGATGGAGGTCGTACCTCGTGCATGGCGTCCATCAGTTTGGTCAGCTGGTAGAAGCGCTGGGAGTAAATCAGCACTCCCTCCTCCTCCTTCAGCTGGACGGCCCTGCGGAGCTCACGGATGTAGCTCTGTCGCATGGAGTCAAAGTGCTCCTGGCTCCTCAGGCCCTCCAGTGGCACTGGAGGTGGACGGGCAGGTAATTAGGCAAAGGCCACGTTCCCCAGTTCATTCATGATAAGCTGTATGGTGAGTGTGAGCTTCTAAGTACCATCTCACGCCTGATAGATTAGCTTCCTGCTTTCTCCTGACAGACAGCAGTGAGGTCTGGCATGTTTGGAATTACTACTTACAGAGGAATAAGGGTGGGGTGAAGCATCTTCAGGCGAGAAAGAAGCTAATCAAGTTGGCCAGACCTACCTGTGTTGAGCAATATCAGAGCCTTCATGCAGAGGAACTCTTCCTTTGTCACTTGCAGGTTAGCAAATTCCTGAGGGATGAACTGCATGGCTATACACAGCTCAGATATGGGGGATCGTCGCATTCTGTCCCTGGAAGCATGTGAGATGCAAAACAAAGGGTTACTCTGAGGGTCTGCGGGATGAAGTCCTGACTGCAGGACGAGGGGGGGGGGGCGGGGGCACTCAGGGTAAAACTCACTCATGCAGAACAAGATCGGGAGCGAAGTACAGATACTCTTTGGTGACGTTCTGAAATGATCTCCAACCAAGAGAGAACAACATCAGACTCATCCAGGAGTACTGGATGAGGGACATTTGATCATTGATGTGCAAACTGCGAAAGCCTTTGAAAAAAGAAAGATCAAATGTTTCAGTCTCAGTCAAGCCCAATGTTACTTCTCAGAATTCAATTGGTTTAAAGGGTTTGTCTGGCTTCTCGTGACCAGAAGCGCTTACCTGGCAATGACTTAGACCATCTCACGATCCAGAGCAGCTGCCTCTCGCACAGCCTGTTGAGGCTGCTCAGCAGGAGATGGGGAAGATCCGGCTGGCTGTTATCATAGCCAGAGTACACCATCTCAGGTTCGATGTTCTCCAGGATACTAATGATTTGTGGGGAGAATCTGAGCTCCTGTAAGGTGGGGAAGCAGGACCAGGACTGCAGAGCCTGGCCGTCGCAGGAGCGGCCCGACGGGGAAGGGACGGCCAGGGCCTGAGTCAGACCCACGGCTTTCAGCGTGCCGAACTTCTTCAGTTTCCGACCTGCGAAGGACATGCTTGGGTTACAGGTAACAGATGCTACTGTAGTTCATCTGGAATCTATGATGAAATCTTATAGTTACAGCCGCATTTTCAAGTAGAATTCCTCCTTTGGGGATGAGCAAAGTTTAGTCTGTCTACAGACCTCTATTGTTGCAGCTGATGATGTCCTAAACAGTGACTTATAATATTCAGTTAATGAGTGGTTGAACACTAAAATTGACATTATAGATCAATTGCCCTCCAGCGAGCCTGTTTTAAAGAGGTTTTCTTGAGGACCACATAGCAGGGGTGGGTCTATGTTTTCAGGAGCCATAGGCAAAGCTTTATTTGGGAGGCCCCCCTACCAAGAAACCTAATAATCATTTCACTCCTCCGCTGCACAGGTAATTTGGGGGCCCTAGGCAACTGCCTAGTCTGCCAATAGCTAGAGCCGGCCCTGCTGGATAGGAGAAATGTGGGTTCAAACCCACTGAGTGTGGGGCTATGTGGTGGGCGTGGCTCTGTGCTCAGAGGGGCCGTCTTGGTGGGCGGAGCCACACTATTGCCTGGAAGGCAGTGTAATGTAAAGTGGGCGTGGTATTTTTAAGTTATTATCCAATCAGAGCCAGACAGTCTTCACATGGTACCTCCCAGCATCATTCCCGCCTGGTAGCACTTCCTCAGTCGGCATGCCGGGCAGTTTTTCCTGCGAATCTTATCCACGATGCAATCATTCCGTCCAGCACACAAATATTTCTGGTGACCTGCACAAAAGGGGAATGTTATCAAAATCTGTCTGCTAAACTATTAACTGGCAGCTACCTCGTAACCACCTCTCAGGCTGAGTGAGGAAGAGGGCACCCAAGGGGGGGTGGTGCTGCTGGGGGGTGCACTTTTTAATCAAGGGTGTTACATTACACACAGCCTCAGGCAAGGCTGAGAGGACATGGTGACATAATCACGGACAGCGAGGGACACTGGTATCAGCCTCTGCCAGATAACGCCCAGTCCCGGATGAAGGGCCTTCAGGAACAGAACTACATCAGACAGCTGCTGAATAGTAACGAGGAACCTGGTTATTCGCTCGAGCGCAACATGTATGTTTTTTGGTTTTCACTGTGAATGGGGGACATTCTTGTAATGCTGGTTACTGTCTGTACCAGTGTGTCTTTAATCACAGTCAGGTTGTCACTGATCAGAAATATTTCCGAACCTCTGATTGTTGTTTAAAGCGCCCGTCCTACGGAGAACTCTTTCTGTAGCTAGCTTTGGGACATCGTATCACAGCATAACACTTCTATCCATCAGTGAATTCGGACCGACGGGGGTAAACCTTTCAAGGGTCACTAGGGGGAGCCCTCCGCATGTAAAGGTACTCCGCAATAAGGCGGCCTCTCACCCTCTACAGCCCTCTTGAAGAACACCTTGCAGCTCCCGCAGGTCAGGACGCCGTAATGACACCCAGAAGCTTCGTCCCCACAGATGAAACACACCCGCTGGGGTAACACGCTGCAAGGAAGACGGCAGCTCTGTTTCTGTGCAATGCCACTGTCACAAAAAAAATCCCTTTCCACAATTCACTCAATTGATCCCTCTTAGGTTAATGTAAGCATGCTTAATTCTCTGTGTCGATGTCTAACGTTTAAAGATAAACATCGAGATATATATATATATATATATATATATATATATATATATATATATATTTCTACCATGCTAAATAATTCTGCCCGCCATCTAAACGATACCGTTAATATAATTACTGATAGGGATAACCGGTGATGAATTACCATTCACCGTATAAGACTTTATAAGTAATGGCGTATTTATTTAATACGGTTTAATTAGATAATAAGCCCTTGTAAATTGACGAGAAGTTCTCAAGCACTACTTTGCTGTACTAGAAATTATTTAACCACAATAGCCGGTGTAGGCTACCCTAAATCATACCCAGAAAATTGCGCGTACGCTACATACAACACTAAAAAAATACAACAAAGTTGTTGTTGTTCGTTCAGTGTGTTTCTTCTCATTTCAATGGTTTAACATTATTCGTTTGCTCATTAAAAATAACTTTTTTATTTATGTTTATGGAACCTTTTTCTTACTGGTTAAACTGAATCAATTATTTACAGAGGGAACTTCAAATATTTCGTGTGATCGATTACTTAAAGTATTTTAATCTGATTCAACATTTCAAAGTTTATTGTTTTTGGTGTACCAGATATCTTACCCAATATAGGCGCTGTAGGTGTCCGGAGCGCCGGAGGTCCTACACGGGGACAGAGCCGCGTCCTGGTGCTGATCCTCCGGCAGACCTGCCTGTCGCCAAAGCGCAGACGCCGCTACCATCCTGCACGGATCGGCGAGCATCGCCAGGCTTTGCGCGTAACCCATCACGTCCCCGTCCGCGGCTCTGTCATCGGTAAGAGGCGGCAGGTCGCCGGGATCTGCCTTGATCTGGGGGACGAGCGGCAGTGCGATCCCTAAAGTGCTGCCCTCGCCGAAAAGCGTCTGTTCGTTAGCCGGACAGGAGCGAAGCACCGAAAGGCTTCCCGGAAAGTCGAGTTGTTGAGGCGCTGCGGTGCCGTTTGCCGCGTTCAGATGCAGTAAATTTGCGGAAAAGTCGAAATGAGAAGATTGTGCTTCCACCCCGAACGTTTGCTTGTCTGTCATAAACTTTTCCAAATGAACTGCTGAGCTGGCTTCTCCGATCAGAGTTTCCAAAGTTTCTTTTTGCTCCCTGTCTATTAACGCAGGTTGTTCCCCCGTCTGGTGCAGCCTTTCTGGAGATGTCCAGGGCTGGGGTTCAGCTTTTGGGGTTTTCCCCGCATGTTTGCCCCGAAGTCCGGTAATTTCTGTGCTCGCTTGCCAGATCGCCTGCTCACTCCTGGAGCAAGGTGTAAGAGACAGTGCGTCCACATTACGCACGGGAGACAACAGGCTACCGACCATGGCTTTACCACCTGAACCCGCTCCCTGACAAAACAGTTCATCCATATAACTGTCAAAACTGTCGATCTTGACTGGAATTAAGTTTCTGGTTACTTGGCTGGGATTAGCGTCGGCGGCGGACCGTCCGTGAGTCGGTTTGGAGACGGATTCTCTCTCGACTTTGGCTCCGTCTGCCATGCTTATCTGATTTGCCTTTGACTCTGCAGAAGAGTGTCTCCCACTTGAGAGGAGCACGCACCCTGTACTGCTCATACTCAAGGAAGTCCTCTCTTTCTTTTCCAGCCGTGGTATATAAATCCCTTTCAAAACCTTAATCCTCTGGTTTGGACTTAAACGCGTAAAGTCGCACTGATTTTTTATTTCTGCTCTGTAGTGTTGCGGGGATTGTAAATATCACAAACAATCATTTTCATAGTACAGTTTTACCCATGTGGTGTACGTGTGACTGTTCTTTTAACGATAAGCATATAAACATGAAAACACTGGCCACATTTTTGTCTAGTTTCAACACCATTTCTGGTATAATCTATTCAAAATCGAGACTGCCTCAGAGACCTATCATATATTTGGTGCGATCGGTAGTTTTTCGGAGCGCAGAATTGCGTGCTGTATTTATTGGTTAGATTTTAATCATTATCTGGGATCCTACTAATGATGATCACATATTGTGTGGTCACCATAATGCCACAGCACCTGATTAGAATACGTTTTCGGTCGTAGCTCTAAATATGAGTACCTCAAGGCAATGTGACTGTCCAGGTTTGTTATCAGTTCATGCTTACTCCTCTTCAGATGATCTACTGTTGATCACTGCTAGTAACTAGGTAACAGGCTGAAAACTAGAGGGGACGAGCCACTTCAGATCACTTGTCTTTGAGCACTTTCCGTTCTGCTCTATTTGAGGATTGTTTCTGTGTATCCGGGCTGAAAACAATGTCGGGCTTGACCTTCCAATGTTGCCAAGGATGTTTTCTGCGGGGGAAAGTCGAAATACACCAATTGTGATAAATATATTCGGACTTATAACAGACACCCATATTCGATATATTACGGGCCCCCTGCATGTGTATCAGATTTACCCGGAGGCCCATTTCCATGGTCGGAGGCCCATTTCCATGGTCGGAGGCCGTTGAGCAGTTGCATCTGTAAGAGGGGCCCTGCTTTTAACTGTGGTGTAGTTATGGACCGGCGGGGTGGTGGAAGCGGGTGGCGATTAAAGTTGAAAGTTAAATGAAAACTGCCTTTCAGGTTAATATCTCTCCTCGTTTAAAACTTAAAAACTTTGTATGGTCCTCACATATACTATAACGTCTGATAAAAAAAATACAATTATTATCATCGAATGAAACTAAATGAGAAACGTCAAACTGAAGCACCGCGGGCAGGAATATTGGGACTAAAGCGGCCTGTCGTAAATAATGTCTTCTCATTATACAGGTATAGTCATGAATGAAATCAGTCCTTATACTGCTTACCCGCTGTACCACTTCCAAACAGTCCGTGCATTAAATGCCATGCATGTTGACGTTACCTATATTCCATCATCAAGTATCTGTGTGAAAGGGGTCAATTATATAGCAGAAATATAATCTGACAAATTGAACTGAGCAGAGATTTTTTTCACCGTCTGGAAATGCAAATGCATAGCTTTTCAGATCTGATTGCGGCGCTCGAAATTAAATTCTATCTGGAAAAACTGCAGCGCTTCTGCCAAACACCCCCAGGCAGCGTCTCGCTGCTGATGGCAGCCATTATTCTGTTTTCTGGACTGTGAAGAGCCCTCAGACATCAGGAGTCATCCTGACATTTTAGGGCACCGGGGTCTTTCGCTTCCTCGGACGCCTTAACCTGTCTTGTGAAGCCGGTCGCAGAGACCCGATTGAAGACGGTCGATTTAGAAGACAGACAGGCGCATCTTCTCTGATTTTACATCGTTACGCTCGGTGCCAATCGGGCAACTTTTATATATAAATAGGCCAACCGGAATCATTAGTGTGACGGGTCATCTAAGCAGCGCAAGGCAAACAGCTAATGGGAACAGATGACAAAAAAATATCTATCTTTCCTACCTGTAGCCTGCATCACCTGTTCATCGCCTGTACTTTCCTACTAAACATCTGTTTTTGATCTCTCCATCAGCCCATTCTACCGATGCTCAGAAAATGTCTTTCAAAAGAGATGTAGTTTTTCTTAACTACTCTAAAAGAGTAGGGCGATAGATGGAAATCACACTAAGAATGTCACAGTGACCAAAGATATTACTCTTTTTTCATGTCTGACATCTCCGAGATCTAATTTTGTTTCCATGACAACCTGGCTTCCCATAAACATCAGTGTGATAGAACAGACATTAAAGTAAATGCAGCCGCGTTCAGTATTGCGTGTCCGTATCTATGTGACATCATTGTTTGCGCACAGTCACACGCGCGTGCTTCCGTTGGATTTATGCGAGTTATACGCCTTAACACACATGTCGTGCTTCCTTGTTCCTCGTTGTGGTGATAACTGAACCTCACAACAAGTGACGCTCAATGTCACAACAGTATCAGCACGGCCTTGCACGGGTTACTGAGTGACGCACACCAGTATGCCATATGACACCCCAGCTTTGGAAACTGCGTGTTTGGTAACTGGGTTGTTTTGGTTTACTGTATGCGTGTGTGTTTGTGGCTTATGATAACCTACAAGTTAATATTATATGTGTTCAGGTTGCATGAAAGGTACCAGTATGTACCATTTAGCTTCAGTGTTGTATGACGCCATGCCTCAAACTGGGTAAGTGCCTCTTCGCGATAATGTGGTTTTATGGGTTATGGGGAACGTTTGAAAAATTGCTGGACTCAATAGTGCCACCGTGTGGAAGATTGTTGAACTGTGTTTTCTTCAGAACTTGACTGCCAGAAGTAATTACATTGGCCCGTCATCAGCTAGAGAACATCTAAGGGCAGAGACTTCCTATGGTGAACCTAGATGAAATGACATGATACCTAGGCCTACCTCTAAACATTTAATATGGCATCTTACATATGCAGTACTATGCAAAAGTCACAGAAAATTCTTTAAATGATCTTCATGTTGATGTTAAACTATATTACATCTGTCAAAGTGTGTTAGTCTTTAATCATGTAAGAATCTCTCCTACTGTCACTCCAGTATTTGCAGCAACAATCCAATATGCCCATGTAGTTTTTGACCACTAGCACACCTCATATGGCAAATCAATACCTCGGTGACAATTTAAAACTAGTTTCATTAATGAATTAAGTGAGCTGGTGGTGAAATTTAACAAATACTTGGAATGACTGAGGTGCCCCTGAGGAGAGGTTTGGGAAGTGAAGTGGTGTCCATCTAGCCGTCCAACAAGGTATCAGTGACTATTTTGGAGAACTGAAGAAATTTCTTTTAGTTTTTATTGTTTTACTCATAATTTGCATATGATCTAATATTAAATTTCTAGAATCACGTGTTGCTAAATAAACAGACAATGTAGGCCTCATTTATCATTATGAAAGTTCACAATGTTCCCGTGCATATGACAGAAGCTGCTTTCACCAGTTTCCTGTATCTTTTTCGGTCTGGAATAGTGGTCCTCACAGGCATGTCAGGACAAACAAACAAGCAAAAAGCACAACAAACTGATTCCCCAAGGAAGAAGATCCGTATGCTGTCTGACAGCTACGATAAAACATTTACAAACTCTTATTGTTCCATATTAACTAGGTTTATTTAAAATTGTATTTTTAAATTTTATTTCCAGTTACCTTATAACCAAGACTACTGAGAATGAGTGAATGTGAGATGGGAGACTGGAGGCGCCCTGCCTATCCTCTGTCCATCTCCAGCCGCTTTCCCACTGACAGGAATGAGACTCTAGACCAGCTCTTCTCCTCCCAGATGCAGACTGAGCACGCTCAGACCTCTTTCTAGTCAGCTGGATAACAGACCAGTGCTTCAGAAGGTCTCCCCTGATGAAGAGAGGCTCAGTTGTACCTGTAGGCAACATTTAAAATATTTATACTAATAAAATGAATAATTCTTTTTACCAGTAGGTGAAAGACATCTCTTCAAATCTTAAATTTCATAACACGTTGTTAATTTAAAAATCATTGCTCTGAACAAATAGACATTCCAATATTAATTATTAATGTTAATAATAAAAATATATCATATAAAGTTAAAACAAATGGTTATTTATTACAAAATCACTGTATCTATAAAAATATATGTGCAGTGTGGTAATGAGTCTTCTTTGTTTAGACATTGTGATCTACAAAAAAAATCATGTATTTCAGCCTGAATGTTTCTGATTTTTAACCTTTATATGTTGCGACCCCAAGAAAAGATTAGACAATGCTGATGTCTTCCCATGGAGGAAAAGCGTCCGGCTACTTTGTGTCTTTGTTACAAGTCCCCAGCGCTGTGGTTGTACCCAGAGATTTAATGCCATGACAGACAGCTTCCTGCCACAGGCCATGCTGAAAGCAGAGAGCAGAGAGGAGAAGCAGTTACTGAAAATGGCTTAGGAAGCCTGCACAGCAAAACGGTGCTTTGCATGGGAAATAGCACCCCCTAGTGGAAGAGCAGTTCAGGATCATCCTGTGTTTCCAAAACATAATCTGCTTTCCAGCTGCTTATCCTGGTTATGGAGTGGGGGGCCTGGACCCAAACACCAAGCAGCACAGGAAAGAAGACTGGGATACACCATAGATCTGATGAGATTTCACCCCGTGCTTCCGGGAGCGCCTCCCACAGGTTGGGTTGGCTTGATGGGCACTTCTTACATACCATTCGATCAAGTGGCTCCCATAACAGCTCAATTGAGTTGAGATCAGGTGACTGTGCTGGTCACTCCATTATACACAGAATATCAGCTGCCTGCTTCTTCCCTAAATAGTTCTTGCATAGTTTGGAGCTGTGTTTGGGTCATTGTTTTACTGTTGTAGGACGAAAATGCCTCAAATTATGCAGCGTCCACAGGGTATGGCATGGCTTTGCAGAATGGAGTGATAGCCCTCTTCCTTCAGGATCCCTATACAAATCTCCCACTTTACCATCACCAAAGCAGCCCCAGACCATCACATCGCCTCCACCACGCTTGACAGATGTCGCCAAGCTCTCCTCCAGCGTCTTTTCATTTGATCTGCGTCTCACAAACTTTCTTCTTCATGATCCAAACACCTCAGACTGAGATTCATCTATCCATAGCACTTTTTCCGATCTTCCTCTGTCCAGTTTCTGTGTTCATTTGCCCATCTCAGTCTTTTCTTTTTATTGGCCATTCTGAGATACGGCTTTTTCTTTGCAATTCTGCCTAGACGGCCAGATCCCGGAGTTGCCTCGTCACTGTTGACGTTGGGACTGGTCTTTTGCAGGTTATATTTAATGAAGCTGCCAGCGGAAGGCCTATGAGGCGTCTGTTTCTCAAACTACGCACTTTAATATATTTGTCTTCTCGCTCAGTTGAGCACCAGGGCCTCTCTCTCCTCTTCCTGTTGTGCTTAGAGCCAGTTTGTGCTGCTCGGTGAATCAGAATCAGAACCAGAATCTGATTACACAGCATTGTACGAGATCTTCAGCTTCCTGGTAATATCTCGTATGGAATAGCCTTCATATTTCAGAACAAGAATAGACTGATGAGGTTCAGAAGAAAGTGCTTTTTTTCTGACCATTTTGAGCTTGTAATTGAACCCACAGTTGCTGATGCTCCAGATACTCAACTTCTTTAATTGGCACAACAATTTTCATCTGTGCTAACATAATTGATCAGTTAACCTTTTAAATGATAAACTTGTTTTAGCAAAACACAACATTCCACTGGAACGCAGGACTAATCGTTACTGATAATGGGCCTCTGTACACCTATGTAGATATTCCATTAAAAACAGCCATTTCCAGCAGTGATAGTCATTTGCAACATTAACAATGTCATAACATATATACATACACACACACACACATGTATATATACACACCAATAAACAGAGCTTTTTGCATGTATTT